CCTGAGCATTTCCAGGAGACCAGGAGTCTGAAAACTTTCCAGCCAAGATCAAGATGTTCCTAAATCAATACCAGTCTCAGAGTGCCAAACATTAAGGCAGTGAATTCCATTATGAAGAATCAGGAAAAGAATCTAATACAAAAGAAAAAGGGCCATTACATTTTTCAGAAATTTTCCCCTGATACCCTATACCTTTCTGAGAGTTGCAAGGTTCCTAGGAAAACCCCAGCTAGAGGTCAGTGACTTGTATTTTTTGTGGGTCTCACTCCTAAGGAACATCTTCCACTACCTTTTATAAATGGGGGAAAAAATATAAACAAACCTGACTTTGGTGAAGTAGGTGTGAGAATTGAACAAGAAGGTCATGCTATTCTCAGAGAGGAACGGCTGTTTTACCACAGCCTCACCACACCAACCGAGACAGCAAAAAGAATTCTTTTCACACAGCAGTATTCTCAGAAGCACTATCAATCATTTGTTTATATTTCTTCTAACAGATTTTACCCATCATCAGTTTTAGAAGAAATACTTTTAGACCTTAATAGTGGGCTTTTTTCTATTAGAATAAAATAACTATTTCTATCAAGAGTATGTAGTTTTCATATAAGTAAGTTGGAGGAGTAAAACCAGGCTGAGAAACATTGACTGTCTAAAGAATCAATTATATGAAAATCAATCACATGATGTGACAATCTCTCTGACCCTTGACAACTTTGTTTCTACTTTGAGTCAAGCATTTCTAAGATTTAAAATTTTGTTGCTTCATTCAACCAGTTCTTAATTCAAAATAACAATCAACAAGTTTATTGACCAATCTGGAAAATTGGAAGATGTAAGATTTTGCATTCTACACCCAAAGCAATATATATGAATCCAGAATGTATACTACTCAGAGGATTAGCAGAATTTCATAAAGCAGGAGTAGAAGGGCACTCATAAACACCATCCAAGAATACATTTGATTAAACTCCCCACTTGATTAAAAATCAGCATATCAAACTGCCTCTGTAGGGCAGCTTCGTGAGCGTGGAACTCCTGCTTACCTGTACTGTCTTGGTTCTGTGAGGCAATCTATATTGGCCAAGAGAATTAAGGGGATTAGACAATTATCTGCCTCCAAGAATAGGAGGGGTTTATGCCTGCATCATCTTGATAAACTATGCTCATCAAACTTACTACTTAGTTCCCCAACCCAGTACCATGTGAAGAGCCCCAACTTTCCTGGTTTTAGAGGCTGGTGCACTTCAGGGCCCATGTTTCATCTTCTCTCTCCTTTCTTTAATCTCTTAGCAACAGTAGGTTGTTGGTTTGGTTTGGAACCATTGGTTTTGCTTGTGTTTACTGTAGTCCACTGCTCTGTTCTCACAACCTAGGAATGATCATGTGGTACCATAAAATATTTATTGATGGAATATATTTCCGCCCTTAAATCAGGATACATGCCAAGTCAATCTGCAACCTACGTGGAAAGCACCCAACTCTTAGGGTATGAAATATGACTCCATGCCTCTTCAAAACCACACACAGCAAGCACATCATCCTGTAGAGTGCCATCAGGCCTGGAAGACCCTGTCAAAGTTAAGATGGTGGTGAAAACCAGCCCCCCAGAGTCCTGCCTCAGTCTGAAATTCAACACATCTTGGGTTTCTCATCTACACTTGATATAATGTACCCCAACTCTTGTGAAGGGCTGGGCCTCTTGCTCTGCTTACATAGATCAGCCTCTGGAGAAGTTGAATTCCCAGATGCGGTTTTATGCTGGGTGGCTTATTCTGAGAAATCCAGATTTGAAGAATGATTACATATCTCAATCCTGTGTCATAAAAATCTGCTTACCCCATCTTCTAGTCTTTGCTTATTTGTTTAATTTCCTATGAGGGGGTCCTGGCCCAAAAAGTGAGGTGCTTCTGAGGGATGTTTTAGAGACATTTTATGGTGTTTAATCTTCTCACTCAAGCAGTTACTTTTCAATTGCAAATGAAAGAAGTTTTCAAATGTGGAAGTTAAACAGAAAATATATTCAGAAAAAATGTTAATAAATATTTTTTAAATAACTCTTCTCTAGTCCATGAATGGAATAGAGTAGGGGCTACTGGAATGAGTACAGGTAAATAATGCACTATCCCTGCCTATGCCGGAAATCACAGAATGGAGTGATCACTGGCCGTCAGGTTCTTAGGAGATGTTGCTTCCAGAGGGAAAGAGAGACTTGGTGGCCCCAGAATCCAAATGACTAGAAGAAAGGCAACTGAATATGACCAAATACACTGTGAGGCACAGGTTATCTGAAATCAGATAGCTATGTCCTGTGCCCCCATTAGACAGGAAGCAAAATACCACTGTTGGAGACGAAGCTGATACTACGACCCAAGCCCTGCTCACTCCAGAGCCCCAGTTAAACCTGATGTGACTCATACCCAGAATCAAAACACAAATCTATCTAGAGCAGTAGACTTGAAACCCATCATGCCCAGGAAACAGGGGACCTCTCCTTAGCCACATCTGCAGGTACAGGCTACAAAAAACATGGATATATTTTTTCTGTACATGTCTTCACAATTTCTTTTGGATTTCTACATGATTTCTACATATCTCTTCATAACACTTGGTATCTTTTGGCCACCTACCTCTAAATAAATCTAGATAAATAAATCCATCGAAAAGTCAGACTTGTGTATTTAATTAATAAAGATAGCTTCCTACAATAAGGAGACATTTTACCCAACCTCAACACAAAGGTTCTTCTTCTGGTCTGCCAATAGAACAAAGTTGAGCTTTCCAACAAGAAACAAAGGTGCCCTATTAAATGACTGCTATGGTTCTCATCTAGCAGCACTTGTTTTCACAATTCTCAAATCAATGTGTATCCTGAGCTCAGCTTCCAAGTCTGTGAAATAAAAAGTAAATATATGAATTAGAACATGGAAAGTGTCCAGACCCTCAACCCAGAGCCACTAAAATACATAAAATCTTTATTTTATTTTATTTTATTTTATTTATTTATTACGTGGTGCTGAGGATCCAACCCAGTGCCTCACATATGCGAGGCAAGCACTCTGCCACTGAGCTATATCCCTAGCTCGAAAATATATAAGATCTTAAAAGAGACCATTAACCCAATCTATGTCCCCAGACCAGGAGATGAGTACAGCCAGGCACAGAGGTGGCAAGTTGAGAGGCTCTCCTGAGCAAAAAAAAGGTAAGGGGTCATTACCTCCAGGACCATGACCTGAGGTCACTTGCTGTTTTATCCCCAGACACAGAACATGCAGAGAAAGAGCTGTGATTTCCATTGTATTTTCCAGCAGCTGGCACTGCCCTTCATGGGGAGATCTCACACATCCACACTATGAAACTAAAGCTCAGAGCTGGGAGGAGGAGGCTCTGAGCAAAGAAGTGCCGTGATGAAAAATCTGCTCTGGATTATGCCAATGATCCCGGACCATGCCACACCCAACCTCTTAGTGTTTATGGGAGCTTCAACACTAAGGGCCAAGAGCAGGGAGGGGAAAGATAAAGATTCCACCAGGTGAAGGTCAACTGGTATATCAAGGCAAGATGTTCCACATAAAATCTGAGAGCACAGCCCAGCCTTAAAACAATCATAGAGCCGGATGCACTCACGCACACCTGTAGTCCCAGTAATTTGGGAGGCTGAGGCAGGAGGATAACAAGTTCAAAGCCAGCCTCAGCAATTTAGCAAGTTCAATATAAAAAATAAAAAAGGACTGGAGATGTGGTCCAGTGGTTAAGCACCCCTGGGTTTAAACCCTGATTACAAAAAAAAAAAAAAAAGAAAAAAGAAAAACAACCACAAGAGTATGTTGAACAGTCATTGTGGGCCTATTGCTCAAAGAAATGGCCTCTCTGCTCTCACAAAAGTCTTTAAAATGATGGGGAAAAAAGCTGTTTCAATCTATTTGACAAACCAAGTCTCCTCTAAGCCCTGAGTAGGAAACTCAAGATTCAGTTGCAGAACTTGAGGCTAACATGTGGTCTCTTTCTGGTCCCCAATTGAGACTGAAGCACTAAAGATTTACAGGTCATAAAAATAGAAGTATTTCCCCACCTAGAAGTGGACCATCTAAAAGGAGGTGAAGAAAGAGAGTGGGTAGGAGGTGTGGTTATAGTTAAAGTCTTCAAACTTTCATTAATAGCCAAGGAAGAAAAGCAATGTTAATTATTTGCACACGTTGGCTGTAGCACTAGGAACTACACAGTTGTGATTCTATTCGATCCCTATTTTAGAGCTAACAGATTCAGAGGAGGCAAGCTCACAGTTAACTACTGAGAGTCTTTATTTCTGCCCTTTTCTTACCCCTAGAAAAAAATGCAGTATGTTGACAAGGAAGAAACACTGGAATGAACATGAAGTCAAATATGATCCAGATTTTTGAGCTGAGGTTTAATCATTTAGAGTCACATGGCTGTCCCCAAGGCCTGGTCCCCAAATCATGCATTTAGAGCTTCCAGGCGGTTCTCATCATGACGATGAAGTACACATCAGTGTCAATGGATGCGCTCACACCTGCATAATAATTCATGAACTCCTCTGGGGTCACCTGTAGTGAAAAAGTTAAACACCAAAACAAACTTTGTTTCAGTCCCTTTTAATGGAAATCCATCTTCCGTCCCTGCAAAAAGAAGGAAAACTTCAGTCAAGGAGGCTGTGTGTTGTGTGTGTGTGTGATCACCACCAAGTAACAGATCTAAAGCAAAAGCGAAGGCAAAGCCAAGCTGGGGGTGGCCGCAAGAGAGGCTCAGGGCAGGTGAGGAAGGAAGTCTAGAAAATGTCCAGATCAGCCTAAGTGGAAAGTAAGACATGGCGTCATCTTTTCTTTATGAGCAGCAGCCCAGGGGTCCGAATACATAAGACTGAAATTCCGAATAAGAAACAAGTGGTCTTTAATACTGTCTTCCTGTGGCCCATCCAAAACATGCCAGGTCCTGTGTCAAGATAAGGCAAGTTTCATCTTTCAGAACCTAGAGTCGTCCTGTGGGTAAAGAAACAGATATCTAGTCAACTGGCCTGGCTTTCATGCATTTCCAAGATAAAAACTACTCATCCAAGGCACAGAGTGAGCAAGACCATTGCTTCCTGTCCCCACCTCCCACCCTACCAGGTTCTCTCTCCATTCTAAGCCTAGGACTGTCTCTCTGGAATCCCCCAGTGATGATTGTGAACTCTGGGTTGGGTATGACTACAAGGTCTGTGATATTCAGGTGGCATCAAATGCTGAAACTGCAAAAAAAAAAAAAAAAAAAAAACCAATAACCTTTGAGAGTATTTGAGAGATTAATGTGGCTGATTAAGATAATGTCATAGTGTATTTCTCCATACTAGGATTTTATAGTACTTTCCTTTTGGAAAGAAGGAAAAACACCTGTCAGTGTTTTGTGCTCATGGGAGTGGGTAATGTGTGCACTCCAACTGTGTTGGCTGATATGATGTGCTGAGTCAGGAAAGACGTGTCCTGCTGGACCTCGAAGGTGCTCATTTATCCCAAAACACAGATCTTCATATATGCCAGATGCAGGCACAATATTGATGGCTGATTGGGAAATTCATTGTTCTCTAATTAACCCACAATTTTCAGCACTCATTAGGAACTGAAAACATCACAAAGAGGGAAATCCATAAAGAACCAAAACCTCTGTCCATAACAGCACGCTCTTCCCACACCACATTTTTGGTAGCATGTCTATCTCTTCCAAGGGTCATAGGAGTTCATTGACCCACTTGCCTTTTTTTTTCCTTTTTTTGCCAAAATTCTAAGTAAACAGAAAAGAAAAAAAAAAGTCACAGAACCCACAGTTTTTCTTCCTTGTCTTACCCTCTACCCTCACCCCTAATCCCACAAAAACAAAAAAAAAGGGCTTAGGACGAAAGGCCTTTAGCTGAGCCAATAGTGGAACTGTGGTCTACAAATACAAATAAGTAGTATATGCACAAAAGCAACTTATTTTCTTTCTTAAAAAAATTTACTATAAAGTTTCTCTGTATCAACAATTCCTATGCATTTAAAATATGATTCAAAGTACAAAAGTTTGAATCATTTCTCCTGAACATTTTTATCATGCCTATTAAATGAGAAACCCCTGTAAGCCCTTCAGGGGTTAAGCCCCTGTAAGCATAATGCCCAGTTAACAAGTGCTCAATAAATGTTGCCCAGAGTTATCATTATGCTAACTGAGGTTCATGTGCATATTGATGGGCATTTACTAATTAAAACCAGGAATGTCTGATTTGTGAGAGCTAAGGATCTCAAATTTGAATGTACATAGGAGACAACTGGCACATTTATTAAATATGTAAATCCTAGGGCTTCACCAAAAAAAAAGAAAAAAGTTGGGCTCTGTTGTTCTGCAGGGCAGCCAGCAACATTCATTCTTAATAAAACATCCCCCAGTGATGATCGTGAACTCTGGGTTGGGTATGACTACAAAGTCTGTGATATTCAGGTGGCATCAAATGCTGTAACTGCAAAAAAAAAAAAAAAAACCAATAACCTTTGAGAGTATTTGAGAGATTAATGTGGCTGATTAAGATAAATGTCAAAAGGGGCAGGAGGAAGGACTTTAAATCATCTGAATCACAACAACTGGCTCTTCTGTGTGAGTTAGAGAAAAGGGCAGCTGAGGTTTCCCTTGGCAGTGAGGAGGAACCACCTGCAGAAGGAGGCAAGAGACACCCGGGGTCTGCCCGGAGTTGGGCCAATGAGGGGAAATGGCAGTTGGCTATTTTTCCACTGACATCTCCGAGATCAAAAGCCAGTCGTACTGGAAGAAAATGCACGGTTCCGTTGTTTCTGTCCTAAGCATCGGGCTGCTCTACAAAATCTAGACCCCTTTTTTTTTTATGTACCTCTACAATCCCTTGACCTAGAATAGAGGGAACTTCTCTATCCTTGACAAGAAAACATCAGTATTTCCTGTCCCCCACCCCTTGACACTACAACTCACAATAAAGTTTCATGGGAAAAGCTTGGGGAAATTCCCTTCAGAGGGCAAGGCTTATTTCTTTCCTCCCGTAAACACCACCTCTTCTTCCTGTCCAGTGCCCCACTTACCTTTTCTGGTGTTGCAAGGGGTTAAGAGGCAACATGCCTTAGGTTCTACCGCTGTTGACTGAGGCCGATGAGAGAATCCCCTTTCCACAACCATGACCCTTAGGTCACCCAAGAAAACTGGCTTTGGGTTTTACCATTGTTGTTGCTTTCAAATTCATTTGCTGGGCACACACCTGTAGTCCTGCAGCTAAGGAGGCTGAGGCAGAAGGACCACAAGTTCAAAGCCAACCTCATCAACTCAGCGAGGCCCTAAGCAACTTAGTGAGACCCTGTCACTAAATAAAAAGTACAAAAGGGCTGGGGATGTGGCTCAGTGGTTAAGCATTCTGGGTTCAATCCCCAGTGCAAATAGATAAATAAATAATCAATCTATTTATGGCTATTGATAAAACACAGATGACATCTTCCTCTCATCTTAGATACAATGATGGGAATATAATTCCTTACCCTAGTATTCTGTGCTTTTATAACTTGAAGATAACAGCTAATGGAGACGAGGTGGTTGCTTTGTTTTCAAGTTCATTTTAACTTAGAAATGCAAGTAAATCTCAAAGCATGCTAAAGAGAAGAACCAGGGGAAATTCTCTTATCTGAAATTCCCTTTATCAAAAGTTGCTTTTTGATAAGCCATTTCCACGTAGCAAAGGATGATGACTAACGATGCCCATACGGATAAATGCAAAAGCCACCAAAACATCATGAAAAGCCTTGTGAATTTGTTGCAGAAAACTGAATCGTGGTCTCATTTTGAAGTTATATATGTTTTATTGAAGTCTATCTCATAGGAATGTGTCTAGCTGCATATGAAGAGTACAGCAGGATCCCCTACTGGTGTGTGTGTGTGTGTGTGTGTGTGTGTGTGTGTGTGTGAGAGAGAGAGAGAGAGAGAGAGAGAGAGAGAGAGAGAGAGATCTATTTTATTACTTTGTTTTTCAACTTTCTAGATGACCTCTATACATACAGTACCAATGTGTTAAAATTTCTAAGGCTTTGGACCTATTTCCTATTAAAAACTTTCAAACCAAATAGGAGAAATTTCATTTAGATCAAACCTTTTTTACTTACCAGTCCGTCTTTGTCATAGGGTGAGTCAAAGTTATCCAGAAATTTCCGGAAGACCTGTTCCTCTGTCCACTCTCCATTTTGGTACTTTGGATGGTGTTTTGCATTGTACAACTCGCGAAGATCTTCGATTGTGATGACACCATCTCCAGTCTTGTCTAACTTTCTGAAAGCTTGCATAATTACCTCTTTTCTGGCTCTGGACATGGGAGGCTAGATGAACAGACACATACACATACACACATATGCCAATGAGCCTTTCCTGTATTACACATGATGAAATATCTTACACCCTCCGTAACGTGGACCAGCTTGTGTACCACTACATGGGATGGGACTATGATTGCCCACAACAGGCTCTCAGCCCATTTGCAGTCTCCTGCCCACAGTGTACAAACAACTTGCGAAAACCAAACCTCAAAGTAGCCGAACCAAACCACGTAAAAGCCAAACCTGGCAGATCACCCTGATTCACAGCCTACTTACTCTTAAAGTGAGAAGAAATTCATTGAAGTCTATTGTTCCATTTCCATCTTTATCAAATCTCCGGAAAAGCTCTTCAGCCTCTTCCTTTTCCATGACCACAGCATAATCATTTAACCCCTTTACAAATTCTTTGAAATCAAGGGTTCGGTTGTTATTGTCATCCATAATTCGAAACACTCTGAAGAAAACACACGCACACACAAAGTAAAAAACAAAAGCAAAAAATCCCCACAAAGAACAAGGTATAAGTGTAAAGATTTAAGAAAGAAAATGACTCAAGGTTTTTCAAAGTGAAATACAGAAGTCTGAGATTCTTCTCTGTGCCCTGCCAAAATTGGAAAGCCTCTTCTCAGCCTCTCAAAAAGAAAAATAAACCCTAAACCACACACATGCACATTCTCACACACACACACACACAATTGCATTGTGGGATTCTAATTATATGACATGTGCCGGAAAGGCCCACGTTAAAGGCTTGGTCAAGAGCCTATGGAACTATTGGGAGATGGAGGAACTTCTAGGAGGTATGTCCCATTGGAAGGAAGTTAGCTCATCAGGGGAGTGCCCTTGAAGGGGACATTGGGACCACAGCCTCTTCCAGTTTTTTTTTTTCCCTCTTTGCTTCCCAGCTGCCATGAGGTGACTAGCTTTGCTCCACCATGCACTCCTCACCAGGATGTGACACCTCACCATAGGCCCAAAAGCAACAGAGTGGTCATGGAAATCATGAGCCAAGATAAACCTTTCCTTCCTGGTAACTTGTTTCTCCCAGGTATTTTGTTACAGTAATGGAGAACTCATACCATATACAAATTTTTTTAGGCATCCAAACTTTGCTTATTGACTCAGAAAGACCCAAACCCTTTCCATCTTTTAATTAAAGGAAAGCAAAAAAAATATAAGTACATCAAAAATCCTATTTTAAGCTATGTTTCTTGATAAGATCCCCAGAACCTATCATAGAGTATAAATGTTGGTTTTCATTTTTTTAACATAATCCACTGACCATATAAAACATATAAATACTGTGTTAGTTACAGAAAGACTGCACTTAGAAACATGCCTCATTATATCCAGCTATGTTGGATCACCTCCACCCACAAGGTACTCATGTCCTTCTCATGAAAGAAATAACATAGCTTCTAATTTTGTTTAATTGTGATGCTTCAGGTTCTTCCATCCATCTCATCACACCCTATTACATGATCTTCCTCCTTCACACATTCCCTTTCTCCTCTATCATCTGCCACTACCTTCAGAACAGCTCTGGGCATTTTCTGTCTTGCTAGTATTCTGACAGGTAGAGAGAGTTCTCCGTTAGGATCTCAAAAACCTGAGCTTAATTTTCAGTTCTACTGGTAACTGGCTTTGTGACTTCAGGCATAAGTTGTAACTTTTCTGGGTCTCACTTTACTGTAAAAGACTGTCAGTTAATCTTTGGTTCCACATGAATGCTAAAATAATGTACAATTTTCAAGTCACAACTTACGCTTTTGCCTGTTAGTTATTTGTAACAATAATATAGATTCTTACTCCTCTGAATTTCACACTTTATGTAAAAATCAAAAAGAACACTTTGCATGAGAGCATCACATAGATTCCAGAGGGAGGAGACCTGACTATTTTTATTTATTTGTTTGTTTGTTTGTTTGTTTGTTTTGCTGTTACATGTTTACAATGTTATGGTCATTCTATCAAAATTCACTTTCTGGATGAACAAATGATAAATTTACAAACAAATCACACTGATACAGGAAATGGATTTTCTTTGTAAAATATATGTAAATTTATAAAATATATGTAAATTCAAAATAAATAATTTGTCATTTAAGCATCTTATGTTATTCAATAAAATTTAATATTGATTAGGTACTTATAAGGTGCCAAACTTTGCACTAAGCCCTGTGAGGAGGAATACAAAGGTAATGAGACTCCATCTCTGTCTTTTTAAGGAGCTTATTGAGAGAGAGAAAAACCAGAAGAACAGTCATTATTCAGTAGTTTTCATGAGAAGTGACATCATAAAAATAAAAGTTAAGAGAGCTCTAACAATAGCGATTGAATGATTGGAAGACAAAAGCCTGAGAGCAAAGAAAGCCATTAAGGAAATCTTAGGAAAGATGCTTAGTGCCTGCACATAAGCAATTGAGATAAAGATAAGAAAAGAGATCACAAGATGTTGTAGAAGTAGAGTCATTAATGTGGTGGTCAATGAAGGTACTTCCTGAGTTTCCAACCCAAGAAACTGTTAGAGTGCCTTGAAAGGGTCCGGGCTGCAGGGGAAGCTCTGTTTGCAAGAAGGGATGATTAATTCTATTTTATTTTGGACAGTAAGACAACTTTCAAAGATACTCACTAGGTAACTGGCTAGTTAACAAGTTACCAGGTATCGTTCCTGAAGAAGAAGAAAGGGGGGGGAGATATAAATTACGTGATGAGTTTGGAGCCCAGAAGAAGACTTGATGCTGAGAGTGTGGAAAGAGCCAGAGTAAAGATGAGCTCAACTCCGGAGTGGGTGAGATGTATAGTGAATTAAAGATGTTGGCAGAAGAATCTTGGGAAATGTCTGCATTTGTGCCATAATTGGGAATGACTGAGAAGGAAAACTGTTGGAAACCATCAGACTTTGATGTCAAAAAAGCAAAGGTGCTGAAGTCATGACAGACTCATTCTGGTCTTAGAAGACAAGGGGAGTGCCCTTGAAGGCAGGCTGGCGGGGGGGGGGGGGGTAAGGGGGGGAATGAGCCAAGGGAGGGAATATTTCCTGGGATCTGGGATCAGAGTGAAGGAGAGTGTCTACCTGTCAATAGACCCTAGTGCAGGGTGGAGGGAAGGAGCTGCCTCCACTGAGTTGAGGAGAGACTTAGAGAAGGCAGAGGCCAGTAAGAGAGGCCAGGGATGAGGTAACATCTATTCACAGTGAAGGGCTGAAGAAAGTGCAGGGTGTAATGGCACCAACAAGTGGAGAGGGCGCCATCAGCAGGAAGGAGTGGACTGAATGGACCAGGAAGTGGAGGGAAAAGCAGGGTTCCTAAGGAGACTGCTCTGAGAAAGAGGGAGACGCCAGCTGAAAGAGGAAGAGGTTGAAGAGATGGTACTGAAGGAAGAGGACTTGCCTTTGGACTGTGACCATGTGGTCACCAGGCTTCACACACCTGCAGCCTGAGCCTCTGACAGAGCTCCAAGTCTGATACCTGGGATGGTTTAAGGTGATATCAGATGGACCTAAAGCCTTCCACAACCTCTGGATGCAGAGTCGGGTGTCTCTCCCACTGACTTTCTGTACTTCTCCAACACACAACTGCTCCTACCACCAAGGGCCCCATTTACATGACTCTCGCTCTTCAAAGTCTCATCCCTCCATGGGAGCTGGAGAAGCCTAGTTCTCTGGGAATCCTCCAAGGTGTGCTCAATGTCTGGCCCACAGCAGACTCTCAGTGTCGTTTGTTATAATGCACAGGGTCTGCCCTTAGGGGCTCACAGTCTCCTTTTGCCCTTGGGTTTCTCAGCCCTGAGGGTGGCACACTACCAGAGGGTGTGAGGATTGGCTCTATCAAGACAGAGACACCCATGGCAGTGACCTGTCAGTTATCCCACAGGCAATCCCAGTGCCACTAGAGATGAGAAAGACAAGACTGCCTGAGAACAGAACCCCAAATTCTATAATCACTGCCAAACCACTATTCTTTTCTCCCTCTTCCGACCCAGCCTGTACTATCTCAGCTTCTGGGAGCTCCTGTCTCATTGTCCTGCTAGGAGTCTGTGCTACCTGGCTGTGCCTCTCCCCTTACCTCGGGAGCCCTGCCCTCTTTCAGCCACACCTGGGCCTTGCTGAATCTGGGATTAAGAACTGAAAATGGTCACAAGAGACCTGAGAGATCAACTCTTCCAAACTCTGCATTTCACAAGTAAGGGAATGACTCGGCCCAAGATCACGAAGCCACTTCTAGCCTCACCTGGACCCCACCACCACCAGCCTCTCTACTCCTGCATCCTACCTGCCAAGTCCTTTGATACCTGCAGAGCCCCTGGCCAGGCACTGCAGTCGGAGTCTCTCAATGGGATCCGTGGCCGTGGTGAGTTTCTTCTTGGACTGGATGGCCATCTCTCGGTCATGGCGTGCTGTCCCTGCCATCTGAGAGGAGAGTTCACAGCACATTAGCAGAGCTCTGGCCGCACCACCTGCCTCTGGCTGAACAGGAGATAGCAGCCTTGCTGAGAAGGAAATTTACAGCTCACTTTGCCATCGGATCTCCCAGGAATAGTCTCAAACCTCCTCCCAGAATTTCCAATTTTTAACCAAGCTGACTGTGTGCCTGGCATATTTATTACTTACTGACCTTGTCCTGAGGCCATCTGCTTTCCCCAGCTCAACAATGAATACAAAGCCATTTTCTTATTCTGAAGCCCTCCTCCCTCCATAAAAAGTCCAAGTTCTCCACACCCTCTTTTAGAAACAATAATGATGTATCCTATGTCATTTTATTTAGACTTCTCCATATTCCCTCACTCCACGTTTAATTAAGAGTCTCCTCTTTGGTCTAAACGCTGGTTTTCATTGCTTCTGTCTTCATTGAGATTCTCAACACTAGGGCCCTGATGATTCTTACCAGCAATCAGTGTGTTCTCCTTGATTAGCAGGTATGTGTCCATTAACAAGGTTCTTTTTTTGGGGGGAGGGGGTCCCAGGGAGTAAACTCGGGGCCACATCCCCAGCCCTATGTTGTATTTTATTTAGAGACAGGGTCTCACTAAGTTGCTTAGCACCTTGCTTTTGTTGAGTGTGACTTTGAACTCATGATCGTCCTGTCTCAGCCTCCCAAGCTGCTGGGATTATGGGCATGCACCACCACACCCAGCAACAGGGTTCTTAAGACAGAAAAATTTTAAACAGGGGCTGGGGCTGGGGCTCAGTGGTAGCGCACTTGCCTGGCGTGTGTGAGGCACTGGGTTCAATTCTCAGCACCACATATAAATAAATAAATAAAGGTTTATCAACAAAAAAAAATCTATATTTACTATCTCTCAGCTGACACACATACAATAAGATATCGTTCTCTCCAGCTTGGCTTTTGTGATTTAAGTTTTCAGAACAGGAGAGGAGGATGGTGGGGTGAACTGATTCCTCCTTTCAGTTCTCAGAACTTCCACAGTGGTGGAAAGAGCACTGGGCACTGGGAGCCTGGGGACTCAGGTTCCAGTCCCACCTCTTCACTGCCATCCCAACCCACCCCATGACATCAGAGCCGATCTCAAAGCTTCCACTGTCTCCTTCTCAGTTGGCTTAGATGATCTTTAAATTTCATTCCAGCTCCAAAAACCAGTAATCTCCATGAGTCCACTCATCCAGTGGATGGAAGATTCTAGAAGCTACTTTACTTTGAGCTCCAAATAAAAGGATCAAGAGGGTAGGAAGAATGGCATTCAGTGCACACAAGAAAATAAATGGTGCTCTAATGGTTCTACCCTTGACTTAATGGCTCCCTCGCTGTCCAAATTCTGGCACTTCCCTTGAGGACCGCATAAGGACAGAATTGTTTTTATCAAAGATGACCGCCCTTGGAATTGTGCCCTCCCCTGTACTAACTGTTTTCCTATCACAACCTGAAAGGTCTCCCTATAAAGTAGTCGGTATCTAACTTTCAGGAAAGGGAATCTCAAACCGAAAACTGAGGCTCGACTAGACAATACAGAGGAGCACACACTGAACTCACCCCATGTCCAGTAGCCTCCTTCCAGCTAATGAACAGGATCCCTTCTTCTTGCCCTCCCTCCTGATTTCCATCATGTCGCTAAAGATGGGAGTGCTTCACTCAGTTTTCTTGGACTCTGGGCCAGCCCACAGGAGTTCCAGCTGCTTTACTCCATATTTGTAAGAAATTGTTCGGCTAAAGCTATGCAGGGTCTCCCTTTGCTTTGTCCCGCACCGAAGCAGAGATTCCCTGGAATTCCAGATGGTGGCGCCCACTGCCCCTACAGACCCCATCTCCATCCACGGCAGGTGAACGTTCCTGTCCCACCTGGACATCTGCTGCCCTCGCAGTCGCCCCACTGGTGGCATGAACCTTCTCAACGCTGGCTTTGTCTCGCACCATTTTTTCACCTGACCTCGGACTGACATCCCTAGAGCTTGTCCCCGGCTTCCCATCCTAACTCCACGCCCACAGAATTCCTCATCCACCACCAGATTCTGGTTCCCCTGCAAGACCCACCCCCACTCATCTCGCTGCTTCCTGCTCCCCACCCACCCTCCAGACGCCATGTCCTCGCCCTGGCCATATTCTGTCCGTGGAGCTTGTTCCAGCCTTCCCAACTTCCAGGCTGCAGAGGCAGGACCTGCGGTGGGTGGGCAGCACGCCCTCTTCATCCTCTGAACCCCCTCAGAGGCTTGCTCCTTCCAGGAGCACCTGCTGCCCCTTCACCTTGTCCCACGGGCTGCCCCACCCCCTACTCCCATCCTCCTGTCCTCCAACCTCTCCTCCGCCTTCTCCACTCTCCTTGCTTTCCTACTTCCACACCGTCCATGACAGCAAGCCAGGAACAAAGAGAGACCTAAACTAAAAGCCCACAGTGGGGAGACTGGAAGATCTGATGTTTAAGGGATTTTAAGAGTGGAGTGCTCCTTGCAAACCTTTGGGAAAATATTAAAAGCATCAAATTCTAACAGTTCTTGTGCCTCCACTAGATGGTAAGCCTGTATTCATTCCTCACACAAAACCCATGAACTGACCTGAAAACAGGGATACCCAAGTCTATGGCAACATTATTCACAAGAGCCAGAAGGAAAAAACAACCCAAATGTCCACCTATGGATGGACAAACTGTGGAATATCCACACAATGGAATATCATTCAGCCATTAAAAAGGAATGAGGTCCTGATATATACCACAATGTGTATGAATCTTGACTACATTACACCAACTGAAAAAAGCTGTACAAAAAAAGAGTCACATATTATATGATTCCACTTTTGTGAAATATCCAGAAAAGGCAAATTCAGAAGACAGAAAGCAAATTAGTGATTACCAGGAGCTGATACCGGGAAGGCAATGGGAAGTGCCTCCTTAATAAGCATGGGATTTCCTTTGGGGTGAAGCAAATGTTTGGGAACTTCATATAGGTAGGTGATTACACAACACTAGGATGGTGCTGAATATTTTAAGATGGCTAACTTTATGTTAAGTGAATTTCATATCAACTTTAAAAACCCATGATCATTTGTTAATTAGCTAGATTTAGTCATTTCACAATCTATACATACTTCAATACATGATGCTGTACCTGGTAAACACATACAGCTGCATCCGTCAATTTAGAAGTAAGTAAATAAAAAAGTGTGCCTGGTATATACACATCTTGGCAAAAGAGTTAGCTAAGGGGGGGGGGGGAATGAAGTAGTTAGTACTATTTTTTGTATTTCACAAATAAATAGGGGTCCAGAGAAATCAGGCACTTGCCCAGGGCAGACAGCACTATGGATCACAGTGAATCATATAGTGGCAGGATTGTAAGACTTTACAGATTATCTACGGCCACCTCCTTATTTTACAAAGTTGGAAGGTATGTTAGACCATTTTCTGTTGCTTTTCCAAAAGACCTGAAACCAGATCATTTATTTAAAAAAAAAAAATTGAGGTTTATTTGGCTCACAGTTCTGAGGCTGGGAATTTCAGGGGACTGCACTGCTGACATCTAGTGAGGGCCCTCCTGCTGTATCAGCTGAGGGCATCAGGAGCAGCCACAGAGCAAGTTCCTCTTCTTATAAAGCCACACTTGCCATCATGGAGGTCCCGCCCCACGACCTCATCTAATCTTATATATCAACAGCCCCATCTGCAAATTCCATTAACAACATATGAATTTGGGGGGACACATTGAAACCAAGGTTGGAACCACATTGGAACCAAGAATTGGATTGGTAAATTGACTTGCCCCAAAGTCCTGGCCAACATCAAAATACAGAGCTTGATTCTCAAGCAGTGCTCTTTCTACTGCCCCAAGTTTGTGAAATAATATATATGAGGGTCAGAGTACAAGCAGATGGCCCTCTCTCAGAGGAAAGCAAGAACATCCAAGATCACAAGCCTCTCAGAGTCCAAACTGTCCTGTCATCTGAGGCTGATCCTACCCGGTGATGACACAGCTTTCACCTCTGGAATCCCATTTGGCCAAGCTCAGGGAAAAAACTGCGTTGGTACTTGATGGTACTTGAACTACCCACATCAGCTATCCCGGTTAATCACTTAGCCACCCAGTCCATCAACAAACAGCTAATATTTATTGTGTACTCTCTTCAAGGCACAGTACGGGGCCAGAAGGTAAGAGGTAAGGAATTACTCAAAGCTCCAAAATAGCTTGGAATCTTAATAAGTTGGAATTCTGAAGTCCTTATATTTACACAGAAAAAAAAAAAAAAAGTTTGTAAGAAGTGGATCTTTAGAGGAAGGCAGGATCGGGTAAGGTCCTGGGCAACACTCAACAACTTTCAAAGTTTGCATGAACGCACCAGGTGACAGGGCAAAAATCTGTCCTCGAACATAATATCAAGATGTCCCTGATTTCACAGTGCTGCTCAAAGTGTTCCTGACTCCAGGAGGCTCTTTCTGACTCACATGGTGAGTTCCCCAGCCAGGCCCCAGCAAAGTGGAGAAGGAGGTACACGTAGCCACAGCGCCACCACGTGTTGGCTCATGGTCTGCGCAGTTCCCCTACCAGAAGCAGATTTCCGTCTATTTCAACAAATGTCTACTGTGTGCACTATGTGGGGGCAAAAGGGAATACACAGTGCAACTCCATATCTAAGCTATAACAAATCACAAGAAGGTGGCTAACCCAGCTTTGGAGCAGGGCTTTATGAAGACATTTCAAAGTGGATAATGCCTAAGCATTATGGGAGGGGATGGTTATGGGAGCTGTGAGGGTTAATATGGGTATCTCAGGTACCACAGCAGGAACACCACGTGCTTAGGTCAGAGTGAAGGAGAAAATAGTGTAACTTGAGAAATGTGGTTTAGTATGGTTTGGAAAGAGGGTCGTGGGGGAGGGAGACGAGAGTTGTGGAGGCTGGGAGGGGCTGTTGGCAGGGAAATGTGGGGGAGGATGAAAGTGAACAAGGAAGCAGGAACCAGATCACCAGAGTGGGGCGGGGGTGGAGTGGGGGTGCTGGGTGCACAAAGGGTTCTAAAAAACAGGAATGGCTTGCATTGTAAGAGCCCCCTCAGCTGGCTAGGAGACAACTGATGTATCAAATATGCTGCCTGGACGGTGTGCACTGAGAGGGCTGGCACCTTGGGCTCTTGCTTGTGACTCCCCATCCCCACCCACAATAGCACGTGGGGGGTGACATTCATGCAGCAACAAAACGCAGAGGCCTGGAGGTTTGGGGCAGAGGCTGAGTGGAGCCACCAGCGGCACAGGCAAAGGAGACAGACCTTCCAGGGTCCTGGTGCTCGGCTGACTGCCACTGTCAAAGCTCTCTGTCTGGATTTCAAGTGTCCTTGGGGAAGGGGATGTGAAGCAAGCTGAAAATCTATGGAGGTCTGTCTCTTCATGGTTCTCATGAGGGTTCTGAGACAGATTTTTTTTTAAACCCTTAGGAGAAGAAAAGGGAACTGGTCAGCCCAGCCTGCACTTTATTGGGTTGTCTTTGGTGCCCCCTGATGGCAGAAAAATGAATTACATCTCTGTTGAATTACACCCCCCTACTCTCTTCTCTTTTTATCTATCTCTATCTCTATCTCTCTTTCTCTCCCTTTCTCTCTCTTCTTCTCCCTCCCTTTCTCATGTAAGACTCTACAGCCAACAACCTATGAACACAAAAGTGAATCTTGTTGCCACAGAGGCCACCTAGGAATCACTGATCCACATACCCCGAAGTACCAAAATCTTCCACATCCTCTTTATTGAAAAATTCTAAGGAATTTTTTCCCCCACCCCTTGTCTCAAAACCCTGCCCCTTTGGTTTCTCTGAGGTTATACGACTGATTTTCCTCTTTCAGGAAAAGGACAGTCGCTTGAAAGAGTTGAGGGAACTAAAGCAAGTTTAGTCCACTCAGACAAACTTCAGAGAAAAGAACTCACCTGAGATGAGGTGGAGAAGGAAGGACAGAACCAGCCAAACAGGAGGCGATGCAGAGGCCATGTGGGGGTCAGAGGGGGCTGTGCTGAGGGAGGAGGGCAACATGGCCAGCTGGAGAAGTGATTCTCACCCTATCAACCGCACTGACACACAGCTTTGCTGGACCAGGTTCAGGGGTTGTCTGTCCATGTTTTTGCATTTGTCTTTGCACCCCCTCTGCTTGGGCTGCTGAGACCCAGGAACAGCATGTACTGTGAAGAAACAATCTTATTCAGAAAGCCACCCAAGCCCTGCCCCAGGAGCACTGCAAGTACCTGCAGAGCCCTGCGATTTTTCCAAAAGCCCATCCCACCTCCTGAGGCCATCAAGCCCATTTCATTTTCCCTGGAGCCAGAAAGTGCAATGATTTTTGCCTTCAGAACATTTTCAGGCATATCTGTAATGCTAATAATACCTGTGACATGACAGTAGCCACTTTCAACAACTAGGGGTTGTTATAATGGCCCCTTATGGTTTTAAAACACTCTGCTGTTAAAAAAAGAAGAAGAAGAAGAAAAGAGAAAGACAGTGTGGATAGAAGGAAGCTGTAGATGAAACTAGGAGGGCTTCAAGCTAGTTCTGAGGAGATAAAAAACACTTTCCCCTCCAAGTCGTATCTGTGCTAGCTCAGGCTGGATGGTGAGCACTGTGGCTACCCCCAAGGGGATGGAGGAAGACAACGAACTCTTAGCATTTGACGTTACCTCAGCCCCTATTCAGAATGCAAGTTTAACTTTCTCATACTAGAATTAAGGCTAGGTCACCCCTGACACGGTGTCCAGCTGTATATCACACTCAAATGACTCAAGCAGTGCCCAGAGTTAAGAACTTGCAGGCATCGTCCCTCTAGAAGACTGCACTTCCACTGCTGCTTCCTTTAAGGGGGCCATCTGCCTGTTAGACTTAAGGTGACCCACACTTATTCCCTTAGTGCCTTGTATATATTGCCAACTTGCTCTATTCCCCCACCCCAGCCTCTCTCTCGGCTCCCTGATTCTTCATTTCTCCTTCTTACGACCCTCTGGAGATTGCTCTCCTGGCTCATATGCTTCCTTGCCCAGGATCTGTAAATAGACTGCTGAACCCGTTCCCTACTGTGGTGGTGATGTGTTGAGTCGGTACCTTCCATCCCTGTGAAGAACCAGGGGCTGCTCTGACCCAGGCTTGACTTTTCCCAGAATGCAGAGTGGTGGCCAGGCAGACATAAACAGGACACAGGTCAGACAGGAACCCAAGGACATCTGCCACTATAAACACGTTTCCCACGTGAGAGAGCCCCTGGTCGTGCGTCAGACGACCAGGCATCAGGCCATCCACCAGGTAAAGGACGCATTCCATGAAAGGCACGCTGTGCACACCCACGTCCAGACGCCCTTCATCTCCTACTGGAGCAGAGTGGCCTGCATGGTCTGGTACAAAGACCCAAACTTGGCTCTTAAAGCAGGAACATAATGTGGTTTTAACTATTTCTGTTTCCGGGAACTGAACGTAAAACTGTAGGGAAATGTCATCCACAGATGGGAGAAAGATACAACAGACCATTTTTGAAGGCAGTGACTAGAAAAAAAAAAAAATTAAACTCTGCACTAACTCGTGTCTAATTAATAAGCTAGCTGTTGACACTTAGTAAGTGGCAAAAACCTGTGGCTCCTCCAGTAGTGTCCCTTTAGGAAGTATCCCTCTAGAACACATATTGGATTCTATTCATGCTGCTAGAACAAAATAACACACTCTGGGTAACTTGTAAAGAGGAGAAACTTGTTTCTCTCATGCCGGAGGCTGGAAATCCAAGACCAAGGCACTAGGAGATTTTCTGTCTGAAAGCTTCTCTCTCTGCTGCCAGGATGGTGTTTGAAGGTCGTGTCCTCCAAAAGGGACAAATACTGTGTCCTCATGTGACCATGTGTCCTCATGCAATGGGAGAGACATAAGGTCAACAAGGGCTGAACCCTGTTGATGCCCCTGTCATAGGTGCCCTAATCTCATTCTTGAGGGAAGAGCCCTCATCACCTATCTGATCACCTTGTAAAGGCTCCATTTCTTAAATCTGTTTCATTAGGGATTAAGTCTCCACATGAATTTTGGAGGGACACAGACATTCATAGCACCAGATGTTGAGAACAGCCTAGCCAGTAGCTAGGAAGTGAATAATTACTATGAAAAAAATTAAAGACCCAACTCAGAAACCCCAGCAAAGCTGTGTGTCAGTGCGGTTGATAGGGTGAGAATCACTTCTCCAAACCCATTGGAGCTCGATGCAATTAAACATGCCCTGAATGCCACCACTAGTTATGCAAAACACTGCTAATTCTTCAGGTGATGTTATAGTGCAGTGGCTCCCCACACCCCCTACTGTGATTTTACCCCTAGGAGATATTCAAAGATGTTTGGAGATATTTGGGGGTGTTAAGTGGAGGTGGAAGAGAGTGTTATGGGCAGCTGGTGGGTTGAGTGATGAATGCTACTCTAATTGTCTAGTCCCAAAACCCAAGAGCACTGAAGTTAAAAAGCTCTGCTATAGGGAAAGCCAGGAAATACCCAGGGTGAGGATAAAAAACGAACACACCCACACCCCTCACCAAACACAGTCAATTAGACTCTCTAGATGTAGATACTTAATGTTTTCAGATGGGTTTAATGCATACCTAAGTTCAAAACCCAAGCTATAGGAGATCCAAAGTCGCCTTCTAGTAAAAGGGAGAAGATCTTATGAGGAAAGGCTAAAACACAACCCAGGGCAAGATAAAATACATAAAGAGAAATGGTAGCAATAACAATTACAAGTGCACATGGGCCTAGCCCTTGACTAAGTGCATTACAATCAGCACATTACCAATGTCACGGGTCCTATGAAACATTACTGCCCCCGTTACAGGAAGTCAACAGAGACCAGAAATGCAGTTCACTTGCCTGAGAATGTGTCATTAGGGAGTGGCAGCCAGGACTAAAACAGCTATGCCAAGATGCTGATGAATTGCTTTGGGAATTCAGTGTAGATCCTTGAAATAAGATGAAGGACAAGCTTCAGGGAACAGATTGCCTTGGAGCAGTGACAGCATTTCACCCCAGCAGAGAGTGGGGGGCAGCTAGGCATGGGTTCCTCCCCACACACATCAGGTCCAGGCTTGGCCTTTCAAAACTTTAAGGCTATATATAAACTTAGGATTGAGGTGAGCCATATTACTGAGTCTCTTCCTCTTGCACCATTTTTTTAAGTTATGCATGAATTTTTTTACACTGCATTATCTTCTATGCTCTTTACCATTTACTATTTTTCCACAACTTCCTTTTAAAATTATTTCTGCAATGCATGAATACATGAAATATCCATTTTCTGTTTGGATTACCAACTCTCGGGTACTGCTCAAAGAACAGCAGTATTCAATCTGCACTTCAGTGGCTGACATCCTCACACTGTGGAAATTAAACATCATTTAAGCCTGGCACCAAATTCTCTCTGTTCCACAATGCATTTTCTCAAATTTTTGGAATTCATGTTGCAGGTACTGTCAATAAGCAGGTTTCCTTTGAATCCACTTCTGCTAAATCACAATCTTTTATTCTTTTTGATGATTATTAGGATGTGAATTGAATCCTCAGCTTAATATATATAAAGTGGCACATTTTAAAAATAATATTTCGTAAGTGTTATTGCTATCAAGTGCTTGCTTCATAGCTTAATCTTTTTTGACATTTCCTTTAATTCGTTTAAACAGGGGTTGGGACCACTACTAAGGAAGCAGTGTTTAAGGGGCACTAGGTCCTAGGATACAATGTTTAAGGAAGTACTCAATCTCAGGACATGCAAACGTCAACCCTACCCTTGCCCATGTCTGAGAATGAATATCTCCTTCAACTTTGTACTTAAGCACATACCTAGCCTCACCCTAGTCTTGGTCTACCTTCAACATGTTTGTTGAACACTTTCTATGTGTTACATAATATAAATGGATAAGACAACCTATATTCCAACTCTCAGAAATTTCCATTCTTAGCAATGGTTTTAACTGTGTTGAATTTGAATTGTAGCTGATTTTTTTACCTTTATTTTATTTATTTGTATGTGGTGCCAAGATTCAAAAACAGTGCCTCATGCATGCCAGGCAAGTGTGCTACCACTTAGCCACAACCCTAGCCCCTGTAGCTGATTTTTTAGAAAATGAAAACTGATTCAAAGGTCATTCCACTTCCCTTTTTCTCTGCTGTATTCCACTTTAGCTGGTTAGCTATGAGAAGAAGTTCTGGCCAAAAGAATCAAATGCAAGTGCTGAGAACTCTGGAACAGCTCTTCTATCTCTGTTGCCTAATTTGTTCCTCCTGATTTGAGATAGGATGTGATGTATGGAGCTGTGACAGACTTTCTGCACCATGAGGCAAGGGACAAGAGAATCACAACCATATCCAATGAAAGCTCTAGCATCATCAAGGAGAAGCCAAACCAATGCCAGTAACTGCCTGATCACACTCCTGTCATGTGAGAAACGTAATCCCTTTGTATTATTGGTTTAATCTGTTGTCAGTCTGGTTTCTGATACTTGCAGCCAAAACTATTCCTAACTGATAGAGCTAAAAAAAAAAAAAAAAAAAAAGCTTATTCCTGCAGTAATCTTAATTGGATTGAACATAATATTGACTCTTACCTGGAAAAAATAGCTAGCAATATGATATGAGGAGAAACTCGGCTTCTCCCATGAATCAGGAGACAGAAAGGCATTATCTTCATTAATACCTTTCCTTTCAAGAGGATTTTATTGTGAATTATCAGCTTCCCTACCGCTTTTGACTATGAAATCAAATGAGGAAAGTGCTTAGTATGCATGATACTCATGGGCTCATATAACTAGCACAATATGGTGAAAATCTAGGTTTAATAAAACACAGAGGCTCCAAGGTTACAGGGTCCTTGTATGATGAGCATCCACTGGAACTGTGCCATGCAGAGGTTGTCTTGATAGCCTCTCCTTGTTTGCTCCTTCTCTGACTTACTCTCCCCTGGGCTGTCTCTTGAATCTCTGGGGTTTTTACCAGAAAATGACTTGCAATCTATTCTGAGTCAGGTCAGCCTGCCAGATGAGAGATCTTAAAGAGACAGAGTAAAAAGATATCTCAACTACACAAAAGGTAAGCAAAGGTTTGGCTGGATTTATGTATAAAACACCAGATAAATTAACTAATTAAACCAAGACAAAAGATAAATAAAACTTAATTCCAA